ATTTCCTAAATAATGAAGTAACCTGAATATTGCTTATTTGCAAACTATTTATAAAGTGTGTGAGGAGTTTTATTATATTAACTTTTTTTAGGTTTATTTTTTAAAGGCACAGTCCTTCAGCTGCATTACATTTGCAAAATTTTCCAATGTGGAAATCTATACTGAAAGATCAGTAATTTCCAAACCAAGCTTGGCTTTAAATGAAATGCCATGTTTAATAATAGCAAAAATATGCCCTTAAGCTACTTCAAAGACAAACAGAATATTTATTGCTTTCTACCACTTCCTGGATGAGGGATGATGGCTAATTAACCTTTGACACTCAATCATTTGAGGACTATTTCCCATGATGCACAGCCATCTGCAGTGCTAAAGGTCAACCATCACAAACATAGTTGAAGGCTGTATGCGATTTTAATTTCATAGTTACTGAAAGCAAAACAATACCAAATGATAGCCAGGAAGAAGACAATTCTATAATAAGCTTTGGCGCCAAAAAAAAAAAAAGAAGGTTTAGAACTGTCACCATATTATTACGGTATCTCCTCTCTGATGAAATCTCTAAGTGCAGGAGAGCTAAGCACTGCACAGCATCCCTTTTCTGCTACTCAATAAGTCGCATTTTGGTTACTGTTCCTGACCAACACATTTTAAACCATTTCATGCACTATGCAAAATCTTAAAATGCCAATATACAGTGATATCACACAGTGATAGTATTGTGTGTCATTGGTGACTTTAGCGCAGCCTGTTGGGATTCAGCAAGTTTATTTATATGTACAATGGGTGGGGTAAAACTTATTTAAAATGTGATCTTGCCTTCCACATTTAATATTTACAATATGTTGCCTCTTGCACATAATAAAAACAAGTGCCACAGAAGTTAACATTGCTTTATTGCTGTATGTTTTTTTTAAAAAGAACCTTCTCCTAGTCTCAATTAGGACTCGAGTTTGGCTACTTTTTTTTTTAAATTTGAAGTTCACTTTGGACTCTCAACAGTTCTCACCTTGATAAATAGCCCTGTCAGCATTATTTACTAAAATGCAAATTTCACCTTTCTAACCCTGTATAGTTTTGGAAATACTAATCAGTCAGCTGGTTTTGTCTGACACTGTAACCTGTAATTAGAAATTCCCTATGAATTCCTGACAAGACACATTTTAGTACCTGCACATCCAGAGATATTAACAATAGCGTGCTAGGGCTAGTTGCACTCCCAGCACACGACACATTGGCAAGACAGAACTCGGTTCCGGGCTGCTCAATGTCAATTATGAGCATAATTTACATCTGTCGTCCGCGCGTACTGCATGCTTTTGACAGAAATCACTACTTCTCAGTTGCAGCCAGACAGGACCAGTGCAAGGATTTCCCCCCCCCCTGCACACAGTGTGTGTTTTACATTAAAAAGCCTGCAGGAACCGGGTATTGACACCAGAACCACTTCATTAAGCTGTAGTGGTTCTGGGGACTATAGGGTCACTTTAAAGGACCACTCTAGGCACCCAGACCACTTCAGCTTAATGAAGTGGTCTGGGTGCCAGGTCCAGCTAGGGTTAACCCATTTTTTTATAAACATAGCAGTTTCAGAGAAACTGCTATGTTTATAAATGGGTTAATCCTTCCCCCAAAACCTCTAGTGGCTGTCTCATTGACAGCCGCCACGTCTTCTCACTGCGTTTTCACGGTGAGGAGCATAGCGTCCATAGAAAGCATTGTAAATGCTTTCCCTTGCGAAACTGAATCGTAGCGCAGCTGTGCGCAGCGTCGCGCATTCAGCCCAGGAGGAGGAGGAGAGCTCCCCATGCGCTGGAAAAAGGTAAGTTTTTACCCCTTTCCCCTTCCAGAGCTGGGCGGGAGGGGGTCCCCTGAGGGGTGGGGGCACCCTCAGGGCACTATAGTGCCAGAAACGAGTGTTTTTCCTGGCACTATAGTGTCCTTTAATGTGAGGTAACTTAGAGATTAGTGCCACAAATAATATACTAGATTGCCTACTTACAACCAGATGAGGATGATGGGCTCTGGTGTAGAACAGGCTCCCTGACGGCTGTTTGTAACTGTGGTCACAAAAGTCAATGTTCTGGGGGAACGTGAAGCCTCTCTATTTTTTAAGGGGGGCCCCCTTACACAGCTTGTGGTCTGGGCCCCAGGGCCTGGCTATGAGTATGCCCATAAGTCCACCTACTTGTTCCACCCATGAGTTTGCTCACAGGGAGTGGAGTGTGTAGGGGATGTGTTATTGTAGAGGATCTAAAGTGTGTGCTTATGGAATGTAGTGTATAGGGATACCAGTTTGTGTGTAAGTGATACATTCACACAATGCATCTGTATGTGTAAGGAATGCAAGGTGTTTCTGTGTAAGTAAAGGATGCAGTGTGTGTGTCTGTAAGGTGTGTATTGCTGCATTGTGTTTCTCTGTGTGTAACAGAGCAGTGTGTTTTTGTGTATGTGCAAGGGATGCATTTTTTGTATGTGTGTAATGGATGCATTGTGTGTTTGTATGTATAGGGAAGGGTGTTCTGAAGAAGCCGCCCAGCCAAAACACGTCATCATGCTTTCAGACGCACGACATCAGGACGCACTAAAGGTAGCTTGCATCTCCTGGAAGAAATATACAGCGTTCCAGTTCCCAAAAGACCGCAAGTGCTAGCCAGCGTGTCAGGAGGGTCTGAGGACTGGTCTTACAGGGGAAGAGCTTGTGATTTTTTTTTTTTTTTTTTAAGTTTTTTGCTGTTACCAATAAAGGTTTGAATTGTATCCAGTTGCTTGTTCCATCATGGTCCTGCACCTTGAGATATCCGGGCTGTCAAAGTTAGAGCAGACCTTTACTGCTTCACGCTTGTGAGTTGATTGGTCAATTACTTTATATTTTTGTGCTTGTGTCCCAGATTTCCACTATATAATTTTTTTTCCTGTCTCCCCCTTTTCTAATTTTTTGGTTTGATTGGTGTGGCGAAACCAACCTCGCCACTGTACACTGGAGAAGCCTGGTTGCTCGCCTGCTGCCTTTGGACTATGGCCCCATGTTAAAAGACATCTTTTTTCCCTGCAGAAAAGACTTATTCGTGCTTTTCTGCCGGGTGTTCGGTAGATTTGTTTGAGTGTGTTGTGCCCCAGATAGGAATCCCATGGAGCCCATTCGCATGAAACTGACTGTGTAAAGACTTTGGCTCCATGGCGATTAAACTGTATTCGTGTGGTCTGAGCGCCATTCGCTTAATAATGTGCGCTCAGACCTGAGCTATCTGGGGATATGTAGAACGTATATGTTTTATGTACTGAATGTAACTGTAGGTAATTTTATGTCTTTTACTGTTTGTTTTCTGCCATGTGGTTAATGGAGTTTTGCCTCTGTCTTTGGAGATAATTAAATTACTTCCCAATTATCTCCAGGGCAGAGAGGAGGGATTGTGATGCATTGTGGGATGGTTGAAATGTGTAAGTCTGTGATTGGTCCTTTTACCCTTTGTGTCCCAGTCTCCCATTTGGTCCCCTAGGGGAGTGTCCACCAGGTGGGAGACCTGCATAAAAGCCGGGCAGTTAGCCCCAGTAAATGAGTTCCTGCTTAACCCTCAAAGTGAAGTGTCGTCTCATTATTGGGGGAGGATTTACTGTATGCTGTTAGAGACTGATTGCCAGGAGTGTAAGCCGCTTGGGGGCTTTTCCTGTTCGTCTGCTAGCAGCTATTCGTGTGTCTCCAGTTCGGGAGTTTCGAGTATTCCCTTGGTATGCAGTTCGGGAGTTTCAAGTATTCCCTTGGTTGCAGTTCAGGAGATTGGTGCTTGCAGTAGCTGTCGGTGCAGCTGAAAAAGGGGAATATCGCCTTAACGGTTTTTAACCTTTTGGGCAAAACGGTCCGTTACAATTGGTATATCCATTACTTGGGAGGATATACTAAACTATTCCCCTTTACAAGTTTTAAAAGTAAGTGCCCCTTTTTTTACACACTGTATCACTTCTTAAACACTTTGCTTGAAAGGGAAAAGATACATTATATAGTACAGGGGTTTCCAATTAATTTTTACCATGAAACCCTTTGAAATAGTGTCAACATCGGGGAACCTCCCCTGTAAAAAAAAACAAAACAAAAACACACAATTGTGTGTTTTTTTTTTTTTTTTTTTAAATGTGCCGGGGTGTATATCTGTGTTAGTTGTATCTCACACACACACACGGACTGAGTTTTAAATCCTATCCTCCTTTTTCTATTCCCCTTATGGGTGCATGCACTCTGAGACAGATAAATCCTCCAACAACTACCCTAAGAGAAGCTTTTGATTGGACCTCTGTGTCTCTCCTATAATGGCAGTGAGCTGAGCACTTTGCCCAGCGCTGGGGAATAATGCAAATAGGGCATTCTATTCAATGACAAAAGTGAAAAACCAAAGAAAAAAGTTTAGTAAAGTGATTTTCTCAAAGAATAATTAACCCTTAATAGGGAACACATGGGATGGGCAGCAGCATTGTAACAAGGCTGTGTGATACAAAGTAAATACAAAAAGAAGTCCTGCGCTTAGTAGTCATTGCTGCCGGCCCAGGACTTCTTTTTGTATTAACTTTGTATCACACAGCCTTGTTACAATGCTGCCGCCTATCCCATGTGTTCCCTATTATGGGTTAATAAGTATATAGGGGTGTATATAAAAAATATCCCTCTGTCTCATTAGAGATCTCTTTGCCAGAAGCTCAAGGTAGCAGGCTGAAGGGTCAGTGTTAGGACCCGCTTAGGGGGGGTGGTGTCTGCCTTGACGTTGGCAGGCGGGCATTCCCTCCAATGGCCATTGCGGCAACTAAATGACCTCTATTTGTCTAAATATACATAGGGATTAAGGAGAGAGCGCAGGGAACTTTTTCTTTGGTTTTTACTATATATTGGGGCTGATGTGTACTGTAGTCATTGCTGCCGGCCCAGTAGTGATGGGAGTGAGCGCAGGACTTATCTTTTTGTATTTGTACTACGTGAGATGTAACTGCATGAATGACACTACTGGAGGGGTTAAAATGTGCCAGATTTCACAGCAAAACACTGCACATACAGACTTCAGGCACCATGATCATTTTAAATCATTGAAGTTTTCATGGTGCTTGGAGAATTTATTTAAAGGACAACTATAGTGCCAGGATCAGGGTGCCCCTCCCGCCGGGCTCTAGGGGGAGGAAGGGGTAAACTTACCTCTTTCTCCAGCGCTGGGCAGGGGACTCTCCTCCTCCTTGGCTGAATGCGCATGCACAGCAAGAGCTTTCCTATGGACGCTGGCATCTTCTCACTGTGATTTTTCACAGTGGGAAGCGCCTCTAGCAGCTGTCAACGAGACAGCCACTAGAGGCTGGATTAACCCTAATATAAACATAGCAGTTTCTCTGAAACTATGTTTATAGAAGAAAGGGTTAAACCTAGCTAGACCAGGCACCCAAACCACTTCATTAAGCTGAAGTGGTCTGGGTACCTATAGTGGCCCTTTAAGTGAATAATGGTGTGAATCCCAGTTACAATTTAAAATCTGCCACAACCACAGTCTGAAGGTTCTGCTTATAACGCTTACCTTTCAGTGCAGATGGTATTCTGCTTCAGTTTATACCAATAGACTGGTCAACCACAGCACCATGCAAGTATACACTCGAGATTTGTGCATGAGTTATTAGTGTGAAATCAAGCAATATCAAAATTGCTAATGACTTTTCATGTTTTACCTAGGATAGTCTAAGCATTATTTAACCCCTTAAGGATCAAACTTCTGGAATAAAAGGGAATCATGACATGTCATGTGTCCTTGAGGGGTTAAGCATTAAATGCCAACATATTTAGTACAAAATATGTTAATATGGAATTTTTTTATCCCTGCATCGTCACAGCTTCAGAAGAAAACACCAATAAAGCATCGGGCTAATCTTTACGACATACAATTACTGTGGCACCATCTGGCTCCTTTGGAGAAGGCTGATTTCCCCAAATACTGAAACATTTTTTCCCTGTAACGTACTGATCTCCCCAAATGCTGAAACATTTTTTCCCTGTAACTTACTGAAAACATGCGGCAGTTTAATGCCATATCTAATAGTTTTAAAAAGGAGTAGATCAAGGATTTGTGACAGAATGGCATATACAGAGTCCAGGTTTGACGATGTTATGTGTGTGTAAAAAGTTAGCAGTCAAGACTTAATCTTTGAAGCAGCAATTAAAAATATTTGTTCAGCTAAGCTAATAGATCAGGAGAATAATTTTAGATGTTGATAAACAAGGGCATTTCAGAATTGCTGCTGTAAAAATCGGTCAAGCAATTATTTGATTATCTTGTAACATTTTTGCATGAGTATTTTTGTATGAATAATCAAGTTTCTGGGTAAATGGCTAGTTCTAGATGTAAGTAAACAGCATATGGAATTGAGAAGAAAAAATAAATAAAAAAAAAATACATTTTCAGTTCTCAGTGGTTTGGATGCACGGTTTATGTCCTCCATTAGATACCTATTCCAGGGAAGCAGTACTCGCAGCCTGACAAAGTATTGTATCACTCAGTGTATATAAACCAGTGGCAGTCATAGTGAAGCTGTTATCCTTTTATACATAGCCTTGTTCACATTTTTGTGAACTTGACGGTATGTAGTGCTCAAAGCTGCCAACCATGAATTCAAAACTGATAAAAATAATTAAATTCTTTTGTGGTATCCTGCACTTATGAGCCACTCGGCCCAGAGTGGTTGCTGGGTACCGTCCTTGCTTCATAACAATTACAAAACGTGGTTATGATGCTTAGACTAACCCTTTAATTATACTACAATGAAAGGCAAGATTACTGTAAATATAAACCAAATTCTAAAGACAAATAAATATTAACCCCCCCCCATAATGCTGTGTGGTGTAGATCTACTGATATCAATCCTTTACAACATACATTTTCCACACCTAAGTGATCAAAAAGCATTATAGTAAAAATTTCACAATAGGTTTTATTCAGATTTAAAGTAACACTAAGACCCAGCCCACTTTGCACTCAGACTACTTCATTGAGAGTGTCACTGTCATTTTAATCATACAATGCAGTTATTTTTGTAAGCAACTGCAAGATTTACATTACAAAGTTAAATCCACCTCTAGTGTCTGTCAATAAGACAGCCACGAGAGGCACTTACACTTTACTGACAAAAGTAAAACCTGATCACGTGGCACAAGGCCCCTATAGGAAACCGTTGATTCAATGTTTTCCTATGGGGCAGCTTAAATGAGCACACCACACACATATTAGGTCCTAAATATCTATAATAGATTATACCATAGTAAAGAAGGTCATTCCTCCTCAGTGTTGACATAGGAGACGGAAAGGTAAGCAGCACGAAGGGAGCCTTGGGCTGTTTAAAAATTTAATTGCAATTGGGGGAGGGGAGACCTTTGTAGAGCTAAGGCCAGGAATACTGTAGTGGTACGAAATGGCACTAAATAAGGACTGTAATATAGTTCATTTAGATTTGTTGCACCAGTTCAGATAATCATGATCTCTCCCCCCTCTCCACCCCAAAAAGTCACTCTTCCACCCAGAGCTTGCCTATTGTCCGAGTCTTTGCCTCTTCAATTGCTCCTTCGCTCAGCTCTGTAATCACTTTCAGAACGTCATCTACACTCTGAGAAGCATCAACCAGCTAAAAAATAAAGAATTTACAGATATAATTTAAGCTAGCTGTGCATTTTTATTTTAAAACACTTTGTATAGGATAACTTATTGCTCCAATTCTTAAAATAATGAGGATAACGGATATCCTCTAAGCATTTTACCTGAACAAAACACAAATGTCTGATTGCAAAAGTGTTTTTAGAACAGAAATCCCTTTGCATTTAAACAAGAGATGGAGTTGCTTGCTAAAGATGGTATGTAAACTAGGTAGGTGATTGTAAAAAACAAAGTTTACATACTTTAATTATCCACCTTTATACAGAATTAAAACAAAACAAACTATGAATAATAGATAAACATTTTGACAGTTAGTTTCACTTTAAAATATAAGATTTTCAAACTACAGAAACTTCAACTTCCATTACTTAGTTAAGGAAAAACAAAAATCACACCTGTACACTACCACCTTACAGTAAAATGGAGTCTTAAATGGACACTGTAACATTCATTTTATTGAAGTGGTTATAGTGCATGAAGTCCTGCCCCCCTCTCCTACTTCCTAAAACCCTTTAGTTCACTAATTACAGGCTTTGGGAGCGTGACTTCAAGCCACGCTTCCAAGCCCTCTGGTTATGAAAGCCTGACTCATTCAGTGACGTCATGCGCAGTTCCATCATGGTTAGCCATAGAGAATCATTCATTCTATAGAAGTAGACTACATTAACCCCATAATGATCAATAGCAAAATAATTCCATAATACTCTAACCTGTAGTGACAGAAGGGTGTCTACAGATGCAAACACTAAATAGGGTCTTTAGGAGCCAAATTCTGATTTACACACATATTACCTTCCAGTTAAGGGATTTATCCTCCATAAGCTCCCGGTAACGTTTGTGTACCTGTACTTGAAAATCATTTGTTTCATATCGTTCATTACCAAAACCTCCCCGAGCAGCAGCCGCTTCAAGACTCAGATTCAGAAAGAGAATAAGATCTGGCTTTGGCAATCCCACATCAGGCTGCTTACACCATTTTAAAGAGAAATTCTGCAAAGACACAAACCGCAATTATAAATGCCACAAAATGTCCAAGCGCGATGAGGGACAGTATGAATCACGCGGGCAGTTATATATGCACATCTGTAAGAAATAACATGACAAGTCATGCAAAATAATATAATAGAGCACAGTCTCACAAGACAACATTTCGACTCAAAACGTGGTCTTGTGGCTCTGCTTCATACAAAAACATTTCTACCACTTGTGTGCCCAGATTCTACTTTGAATATCGATATTTGGAAGTGTGCCACTCCTGTTCTGTGGAGCACCAAGAGTGCCATTATTTCTGAGTGCAGTTCCCTTTGGTTTGTTGTAGGATAGAATATATATATCTCTCTCTCTCTCTCTAATAAAACTAAAGAGAATATTTCACAGGCACACAAACAGAAAGCCATACAATGACTGCCATTAGATTTTCGACAGCTTTTTTTGATAATGGACTGTTAACCAATGTTTCAAACCTCCTGACAAAATGTGTGTGCTGTATGTACACTGTGTATACATAAATTGGAAAGATTAATACCACCAACACGGTTTTGTAGTTGTATTGTGCTTTTGCACAATGCTGCTGTTAAAAGAAACTATGTCAAAGGAAGCAATGCACGGGAACCTACTTGCAGCATAACCAGAGTAATAAAAATAAAGTCATGGAGCTTATTTCAGTGCAACCCATTTGTGTGAGTAAACCCTTACCTCTTTAGAACTTGTAAATGCTACCCCAGAAAATGCATATCGATCCACAACTAGAGTTACACCACTTGCCAATTTCTCTTTTATCATTGGACTACAAACAAAACATAGAAAATAATTAGACAAACAGTAACAAAGGTTGCAGAATCTTTCCCATAAATAATCACGTTTTTCCAAATCAAACAAGTGTCATGAAATGCTTTAAATTATGCGATTTAAAACCATGATGCATGCGGTATATTGTCATCGAGCAGAAAACAGGCTCTGCTGACCTAACTGAGAAAAGCACATTTTTCAGTTTGTAGTAAAGCTGATCTTCCCTTTACTATTAATACGTTGCCATCCTTAAGGGACAATATAGGCACCCATGCTAGTAAATGTATACATTGGGAGAAAAACCTATTTAAAAAACAGTTTTTTTCTTCTCCCATTTGTCTCAATTCCTCATCAGTTATTTCAGATTATTTCCTTAACACTGTGAAACTTTCCAAATTCAAGGGCTTCCACATTCGGCTTCATCATGCACTGCGTGACAAGCATAGATTGGTGAAGTGTGGTTTTTTCCAAGCCGGGGCGCCCAATAGCTCCAGTGGGGGGGTCTATTTGTGTGTATAAACACATTTGTACCTTGAAAATTGGAACTCCACCAACAAACCCATATAGTATTGATCCACCAAGCACCATATTGTTGCAAGATTGCTACGTTTATAGTGCAGAGTACCCTCCTACCACTCTCAGCTAGCGGACATATCTGGATCCACTTTGTGCATGCAAAAGCCAGCTTGATTGCTCTTCCCCTTTTATAAAGCCAGACTGTGAACAGTTTGCAACTCCTCCAATTGCTGCATGCAGCTCAGTTCACAATACTGCCAGCTAGGCTGTGTTGCTACTATTTGCTTATAGATGAGTTCTACTTACAATATGTAATGATTTGAACTGCTGCAGGGTACTAAACTATCTATCCAAAATACACCTGCTGAGAGAGGTGTCTGTATAAATTTAACCTGTCACAAATCTTCAATATCACTGTTTTTAAAAAAAAAAAATTAAAGCAAATATATATTATGCATTAAAAAGAGGCACAAAATGCTTTTGTGCTAAATAATGCACACTCACACAATATAATCACATAAGGAACAGAAAGGTAAGCTATAGATATCTAAACAAATATACAGTTGCAAGAAAAAGTATGTGAACCCTTTGGAATGATATGGATTTCTGCACAAATTGGCCATAAAATGTGATCTGATCATAATCTAAGTCACAACAATAGACAATCACAGTCTGCTTAAACAAATAACACACAAAGAATGAAATGTTGCTATGTTTTTATTGAACACACCATGTAAACATTCACAGTGCATGTGGAAAAAGTATGTGAACCCCTAGACTAATGACATCTCCAAGAGCTAATTGGAGTGAGATGTCAGCCAACTGGAGTCCAATCAATGAGATGAGATTGGAGGTGTTGGTTACAGCTGCCCTGCCCTATAAAAAACACACACCAGTTCTGGGTTTGCTTTTCACAAGAAGCATTGCCTGATGTGAATGATGCCTCGCACAAAAGAGCTCTCAGAAGACCTACGATTAAGAATTGTTGATTTGCATAAAGCTGGAAAGGGTTATCTCCAAAAGCCTTGCTGTTCATCAGTCCACGGTAAGACAACTTGTCTATAAATGGAGAAAGTTCAGCACTGCTGCTACTCTCCCTAGGAGTGGCCGTCCTGTAAAGATGACTGCAAGAGCACAGTGCAGACTGCTCAATGAGGTGAAGAAGAATCCTAGAGTGTCAGCTAAAGACTTACAAAAGTCACTGGCAAATGCTAACATCCCTGTTAGCGAATCTACAATACGTAAAACACTAAACAAGAATGGATTTCATGGGAGGATACCACAGAGGAAGCCACTGCTGTCCAAACAAAACATTGCTGCACGTTTACAGTTTGCACAAGAGCACCTGGATGTTCCACAGCATTACTGGCAAAATATTCTGTGGACAGATGAAACCAAAGTTGAGTTGTTTGGAAGAAACACACAACACTATGTGTGGCAAAAAAAAAAAAAAGGCACAGCACACCAACATCAAAACCTCATCCCAACTGTGAAGTATGGTGGTGGGGGCATCATGGTTTGGGGCTGCTTTGCTGTGTCAGGGCCTGGACGGATTGCTATAATTGAAGGAAAAATGAATTCCCAAGTTTATCAAGACATTTTGCAAGAGAACGTAATGCCATCTGTCTACCAGCTGAAGCTCAACAGAAGATGGGTGCTGCAACAGGACAATGACCCAAAGCATAGAAGTAAAACAACAGAATGGCTTAAACAGAAGTCAGAGTCCCGACCTCAACCCGAGTGAGATGCTGTGGCATGACCTCAAGAAAGCGATTCACACCAGATATCCCAAGAAAATTGCTGAACTGAAACAGTTCTGTAAAGAGGAATGGTCAAGAATTACTCCTGACTGTTGAGCACGTCTGATCTGCAACTACAGGAAACGTTTGGTTGAAGTTATTGCTGCCAAAGGAGGGTCAACCAGTTATTAAATCCAAGGGTTCGCATACTTTTCCACCTGCACTGTGAATGTTTACATGGCGTGTTCAATAAAAACATGGCAACATTTCATTCTTTGTGTGTTATTAGTTTAAGCAGACTGTGATTGTCTATTGTTATGACTTAGATGATCAGATCACATTTTATGACCAATTTGTGCAGAAATCCATATAATTCCAAAGGGTTCACATAATTTTTCTTGCAACTGTATAGTGTTTTAGTTTATATATATATATATATATATATATTTTTTTTTTAAATTGAACATGCTTATTAGCTTGTTATATTCTTACATTTCATACCATATTTCCTAAATGCAAATTATGTATTGTCTTTCAACACTATTTTAATGTAGTAAATAATTCAATATGACAAGATTTAAAAAAAAATTATATTTTGAATGTTACTTAACATTTTATCCAGCACCAGGCATCGACTCTTCCTCTTCTAAGAGCATCTACCTGGAAGATCTCTGGTTCGATCAAATGTTTCTTAAAGAGCACTGAGGACGTACTAGGCAGGTGTCAGGGAGCCGCGGGCGGCGAGGCTGCACGCCACTTGCAGCACTCACCCTCAGTCCATCGCCGCCCGCGGTCTCCTCTCTGCTTACCTGTCGGCGAGCGGCGTCACCTCTGTGCCGCTCGCCGCAAGCGTCCTCCACGCCCCCCAGCGGCAGCATGTATAACGCTGCACGCTGGGAGGTCCAGGAATTAAGTAAACGCCGGGGTCACTCACGTGACCCGGCATTAAAGAAACAGTACCACAATCACAGTGGGGGTTATAGATACCCCCCACGTGTGATTGTTAATTCTGATTGGAAGTTATCCATTCAGAATTAAACCTAGGGTATTTATACTTACCTTTCCTGTCCCTCAGTGCCCTGTTGTGGTCTTGTGATACCTGTAGCGTAGTGTTCTTGTGTTGCTCTCTGGTTACCGGTTATTTGGCTCGTTATTCCGATTATCCTGTCTTCTCCACTCCTTTGACCTCGGCTTGTTTCTCGTTCTCCCGTTTTCTGGCTCCCTTTACTTGGCTTGTCACCTGATTATTCTTAGCCCGGCCACTCTAAGGTCCGGTACGGCACCTTTTCTGTGTGTGTGTGTGCGCCAGCGTGTTGGGTTCCTCGAATCGTGACAGCAGGCAATTGAATTGCTGCACTCAGCCATCGGGATGCTTCTCGTAGAAAAGCACTGAATCAATTAGGTGACACAATGTGAATTGTGAAGGATTATAAAATTGGTGAGAGTCTCGGGATGCTTCTCGTAGAAAAGCACTGAATCAATTAGGTGACACAATGTGAATTGTGAAGGATTATAAAATTGGTGAGAGTCTTCATTAGGAAGTGCCTCTAGAAGCATCATTTCTTACAAGCAAAACACAATGCTTACATCAGTTAGACTGCAAACACAGGATCTATGTAGGGTTACCATATCTGCCCTGCTTTTTCAGCAACACATCATTTTGTAATTTTAACAAACACGCATGAAAAGGATTGCCCTGCAGTAAGTAAAATGCATTTTCTACAGGATTCTTTATTGCCTAAATTATTTAATCTTATACACCTTCTGAATTCTACATACTACAGGCCAACCCTTTTCATGTACTGCCCATCAATAACTATACGTGATATGTGTCCCTGAAAACATAGTAGATATGCCTCAGAACTACATCATTAAAGTGGCACCATCTGGATTATTTTCCTATTTTGCATAGCCCCCAGATGGTGACTGCCCTGCTTGCAGTGTACCTTGCTGCACCTTCATCAGGTCAGGCTCCTTCAGCTACTGGAACTTAATTTGTTAGTAGCCAAAGTCAATGTTTTACCCTCGTGAAGATGTATTTTCGTGAAGCTTTAAAATAATTTTTGATTGAAGGTGTCATTGCAAATAAAATAAAGACATTGAAATATCAAGGAACAATATGTCCTGACTGCACAACATAAATAGCTCAAGTAGGCAACTAAACAACAGTCTGGTGCATGGAAATCAGACAGTAGAATAATTAGAGAAGCAGATAACATCGATGTCAATCGTAAAACTAAGTTTTAACACACTGGAAAACTAAATGATATCCATTATAAATAAGTTTTATACCCATTTAATAATTTTAACCATATCTGACGTGTAATATGCTTCAGCAAGGGCAATATCCTGAGTCACCATCATCCCAGTGTCCACAAATATTTATGAATTTCGATAGATCACCAGCCACCCTGCTAGGCATTTCATAAGGTTTATTTTTTTTAGACAATCTTTATTTTTCCAGTAATAGGTCAGAATTTTGAGATGCCGCTTTAAGATGTAGATGCTTTGACTGTCCCTTTCAATATAAATTATTTCCAACTGCATTGAGTGGGAAATGCAGGTTCATAAAACAAAAGTTCCTCAAAGTTTCTTGCATTAAAGAAAAAAAACTAGTTAGTGTCCCTATTTTTGGATAACAGACACTACATATGGTAATCAAAAATACATCTGATCTTTGTTCTTACACTTGTTCCCATCTGTTGGCAGAAAACAGAAGATGTACAGTGTGATCTTCTATATTATTTTTCTTTTCAAGGTAGGAGCCGATTAGTTTTCCAATCTCGGTTGTTCGCTCTGAAAGAAGATGGAAAATATTAGATAAATAAAACATTTATCAAGAGTTAGACCTCAAGAGTTTCAGATGAGTAGAAAAGATCAATATAGACATTGTGTAACACTAATAAGCTGTCAGAGCGCCGTGTGACCCCGGCCAGTATCAGTAATAAGCTGTCCGTGTGACCCCGGCCAGTATCAGTAATAAGCTGTCCGTGTGACCCAGTAATAAGCTGTCCGTGTGACCCAGTAATAAGCTGTCCGTGTGACCCAGTAATAAGCTGTCCGTGTGACCCAGTAATAAGCGGTCCGTGTTACCCGGCCAGTATCAGTAATAAGCGGTCCGTGTTACCCCGGCCAGTATCAGTAATAAGCTGTCCGTGTTACCCGGCCAGTATCAGTAATAAGCTGTCCGTGTGACCCCGGCCAGTATCAGTAATAAGCTGTCCGTGTGACCCCGGCCAGTATCAGTAATAAGCTGTCCGTGTGACCCGACCGGTATCAGTAATGGCTGTCCGTTGTGGGCCCGGCCAGTATCGGTAATAAGCTGTCGGTGTGACCTGACCAGTATCAATCAATGACTGTCGTGTTGACCCGGTGTTAATAAGCTGTCCGTGTGACCCCGGCCAGTATCGGTAATAAGCTGTCCGTGTGACCCCGGCCAGTATCGGTAATAAGCTGTCCGTGTGACCCCGGCCAGTATCGGTAATAAGCTGTCCGTGTGACCCCGGCCAGTATCGGTAATAAGCTGTCCGTGTGACCCCGGCCAGTATCGGTAATAAGCTGTCCGTGTGACCCCGGCCAGTATCGGTAATAAGCTGTCCGTGTGACCCCGGCCAGTATCGGTAATAAGCTGTCCGTGTTACCCCGGCCAGTATCGGTAATAAGCTGTCCGTGTTACCCGGCCAGTATCGGTAATAAGCTGTCCGTGTTACCACGGCCAGTATCGGTAATAAGCTGTCCGTGTGACCCGGCCAGTATCAGTAATAAGCTGTCCGTGTTACCCCGGCCAGTATCAGTAATAAGCTGTCCGTGTTACCCGGCCAGTATCAGTAATAAGCTGTCCGTGTTACCCGGCCAGTATCAGTAATAAGCTGGCTGTGTGACCCGGCCAGTATCAGTAATAAGCTGTCCGTGTTACCCCGGCCAGTATCAGTAATAAGCTGTCCGTGTTACCCGGCCAGTATCAGTAATAAGCTGGGTGTGTGACCCGGCCAGTATCAGTAATAAGCTGGCTGTGTTACCCGGCCAGTATCAGTAATAAGCTGTCCGTGTTACCCCGGCCAGTATCAGTAATAAGCTGTCCGGTGACCGGTATCAGTAATGGCTGTCCGTGTTACCTCTCGGCCGGTATCCAGTAATAAGCTATCCGTGTTACTCGTGAGTATCGATAATAAGCTGTCGTGTTACCTCGATGATATCAGTAATAAGCTGTCCGTGTTACCCGGCCGGTGTCAGTAATAAAGCTGGGTGTGTGACCCGGGCCGGTATCAGTAATAAGCTGGGTGTGGTGACCGGTATCAGTAATGGCTGGGTGTGTGACCCGTGGTATCAGTAATAAACTGTCGTGTTATTGATATCAGTAACTCGACTGTCCGTGTTACCCCGGCCGGTATCCCAGTAATAAATCCGTGTTACTGACCGGTATCGGTATCAAGCTGTCCGTTGTTGCGGTAATTATCGATGTCGGCTAATCCGTGTTACCCGATCAATCGGTAATAAGCTGTCCGTGTTACTTGACCAGTATCGGTAATGAAGCTGTCCGTGTTTTGACCGAGTATCGGTAATAAGCTGTCCGTGTGACCCCGGCCAGTATCGGTAATAAGCTGTCCGTGTGACCCCGGCCAGTATCGGTAATAAGCTGTCCGTGTGACCCCGGCCAGTATCGGTAATAAGCTGTCCGTGTTACCCCGGCCAGTATCGGTAATAAGCTGTCCGTGTTACCCGGCCAGTATCGGTAATAAGCTGTCCGTGTTACCACGGCCAGTATCGGTAATAAGCTGTCCGTGTGACCCGGCCAGTATCAGTAATAAGCTGTCCGTGTTACCCCGGCCAGTATCAGTAATAAGCTGTCCGTGTTACCCGGCCAGTATCAGTAATAAGCTGTCCGTGTTACCCGGCCAGTATCAGTAATAAGCTGGGTGTGTGACCCCGGCCAGTATCAGTAATAAGCTGGCTGTGTGACCCCGGCCAGTATCAGTAATAAGCTGGCTGTGTGACCCCGGCCAGTATCAGTAATAAGCTGTCCGTGTTACCCCGGCCAGTATCAGTAATAAGCTGTCCGTGTTACCCGGCCAGTATCAGTAATAAGCTGGCTGTGTGACCCGGCCAGTATCAGTAATAAGCTGGCTGTGTGACCCGGCCAGTATCAGTAATAAGCTGTCCGTGTTACCCGGCCAGTATCAGTAATAAGCTGGCTGTGTGACCCGGCCAGTATCAGTAATAAGCTGTCCGTGTTACCCGGCCAGTATCAGTAATAAGCTGTAATTGTGTTTATATCCCCTGGTCCCCCATTATAATGGCAGCCTGTTACCTGGGAATCGCAGGCCCTCCGCCCTGTGACCGCGCTCTCTCAGAGTGTCTACCAGCAGCCGAGCCTGCGTGCTTTTGCCGGCTCTGTCAGCTCCCTCCAGCACTATGAGAGCCCCACGGAGTCCCGCCATACTGCGCATTCGGCCTCTAGCAGCCAGCCCCACTCATAGCTCGCGCCTAACACGCCACTTCCGGAACATACCGGAAGTGAGCGCAAGGCAAAGCATTGTGGGAGCTATTCCACGGTGACACCCTGGGAGTCGGTTCCCAGAGGGTGACGGGACAGGAAGTGGCTTACATTCACTGAAAGGAGCTTCTGGCCCTTGTGGTCAGGTCCTCCATAGCCTGGGATGGGAACCAGACTGCTCTCAGTGACTGAGCTGGCTCCCATCCAGATAAAGGACATAATGAGGAAATAGACCATTCACAGTGACAGAGCTACTTCCCATGCAACCTTTCACTGTCCATACTGCATGCCCCCCA